ATTGGACGTCGGGGGAAATGGACAACCCGTTCAACCCACTGAAGAGGAGCCTGTGCTCCAACGGCAATGCGTGGAAGCGGCGCATCCAGCTCCCGAGAATGAATTTGCACCAGGGGAACAACCTGAAGTAGAAGTCATTGCTGAACCTTCCGGACGTGACTACCCTCCAAAATACGGTCACGACCAAGTTCGCGGGGCTTTTGGTCAGGCAGTATCTTCTGTGAACCACCTGGTGGGGCGAGAGCGTATGAACTACTTGGTGGCGCAAATCAAAAGCTATGCATTCACACATCCAGGCATACGTCCGAAGCCTGTGGGTCAGACATACCGGGGCGCAGTGCCATCAATGAGGCGCTTGCTGCTATCCTTGCCCTGTATCAACAACCCCTCCCGAATGCGCAGATGTCGAGATGGGAGCTGATGAAGCCACATCTAGCAGAGCATCTTCAATGTTCAACAGCAAGGGCACCACGTCCCAGGCAAGACCGAGGACGACAGGTCCGTTGCTTCCTACAGAAGTGTTCATGAGCTACGACAACCGCCCTGATCATATTCAGATTGCGGGAGCAGAGCCGAGGATGCTACGATGCATGTGGCCGGTATCTATTCAGCAAAGGTCTTGCTGATGAGGGTGCGGTTGCGAGTGCTATCACTGAAATCAGCATCCCGAAGGAGGAATGAACTTTCCACAGGGAGGCGCCAGTCTTCGGCCCCGACGAAATTCCGGACGGTGCCTACAATGGGCCTACAAATGCATCGGACCAGGCGTGCGATGCAAGAACTGCGGCCTGGGGTTGACGTCGAATCTTCGAGCTCCAATCGAGCGCAAGCCCACCTTTGAGTGTTTGCGCCTCTCAACAGAATAAACGAGATCACGCGATGGCGAGTACATGGTGATCCGCAGATGCCACTGGTCGTTCTTTACATTCCTGCAGTTTTCCCCAACACTACAACGGATGTAAGTGTTCAGTGCACAGATCAAGTTCGATGGAGGTCTAGGCAGTTTGGCTTCTGGTGCCCAAAGAACACGAGTACAGGGAATTCAGGCTCATTCAGAAGATACTGGACCGCGAGCTGGAGGATGAAGTTGTTGTAATTAGCAAGCATCCCCGGTTCTACCGAGAAACTCCAATCGACGAAGTGCGCAAAGGCTATTTGAGCTTCTCTCGGGGACGGAGATGCCACAGGGACCTCGTGACGCACGGCGCCAGAAGCACATGGAGAACATGACGAATATTTCGCATGTTTCTTTGGATGAACAAAGGCTGCGAAGTTTGATCAAGGAAGCCATCAAGTTCGCCAGCAAGCCTGCACGATCTTGTGAATGTTCACGTTCGGAGGAAGGTATATGCACTGCGTGCCTCACGAAGACACCCGTGTGCCTGGTGAGATGCACTGTGCTTCCCATCTTTCTGATCTGCTGGGAAGTACCAACGAACCAACACAAGACGTGAAATGTGCGGTGAAGTTCCAACTGAGAACAGAGGCGGCGGAAGCAGCTGCAAGCGCCGACGAAGTGTTCGTCTTCGATGAACCCACGATACCTGATGCGACGATTGCTGTGTCCGAAGGCGACGAGGAAATGGGCATGGATGATCTCGACAACGAAGAACCTGATGCGAGCGCAGAGCAGTGCTAGTTTAGTCAAGCCACTTCAATGTGGACAGCGACGCCGCAAAAGCAAGATTGTCATTGCAGGTTCCTCAATTTGAATTGATCCCAAGGCTGCTACGTACTGCTACTTCAACGTCATCGGCTGCCACTGGATTTATCGTCAATGGAACAGCAACGCCAAATGGGCAACCATGTCGTAGCCCGTGATGGAGAAGAACTTTGAAGAGCTACATCGTTATGACATTGCAGGACAATGGGGTCGGCTCGCAGAGTTTACGGGAATGAGCAGAGAGGTTGATGATCAGGAAATCCTCGACTACAGTACCTCTGTGCACAACAGAAACAGACTGACCCCGATGGGGAGTTCGGATTTCGACGTTTCCGTTTCAGTCAGTTCCTGGCCAAGTTGACACGAGGAGCCCGTCAAGTGCAATGGGGAAGGGAGATTTTCAATCCTGTGCAGTACGAAGCAAAGAGCAAATCATTCGAGCAGATGCACGTTTCTTTTGCCACACAGTCATTTCCGAGCTCATCGCCAAAGTCACTGGCAAGACTGCATCTTCGTACCTGAGGCAAGCCCCGACAAACTGGAGTATGTGCACGTCGATCTCTGCGGACTACTGCTGCGAATCAGCATTGATAAGCACATCGCTGCAGACCTTTTGGTGACCTGCGCGAGCCACGGGGTTCCCATTCCTCAGGCGAAATTGGACAACTTCGTGAAAGATCCCACCCGCGTCCTTGAAAACGTTCGCAGACACATCGCGCCCGTTGCCGACGTTGCACGTACGCAAGCCTCCATCATGGACATCGTCCTGCGACACGTCAAAAGGATCAGCCCAAAGACAGTGCCGGAAAAGGAAAGCAAAGTCCAAGCAGGAGGCAGGTGCATGGTATCGCGATGTCACCAGCTGCCCGAGATGATGATGGACAAAATCTATTTCCGCGTTGGACCATTCAGTGCATCTACTACCCGAAGTTTGATCTTGAGAGTGCTAGATCGTGGTAGCATTGCGGTCTTTGCTTCTGTGGCAACGACTACACGACTGTGAGCTTCATCACATCATTCTGCTTCGGTGACTGATTCTGCAATGCATAAGTCAAGGGACCGCTTCTCCGACGGAATCAGTACGTGTCACACTGTCTTACTTGGGGAACGAAGCCTGACGAAACTCCCAGAAGGGTCGCAGAGACGCAATCAATCTTTCAATCGTGGCAATCCTCTTAATGTGTGTCAAACCGTAAGTGTGACACTAAGGGAGGGTGTGAACGGTTATCGAAGCACTGTCCGTTCGAATGACCGCGTTGCCGACCATCGTATATGTGATCTACGCATGCCACCGAACACTGCCATCCCGGCTGCAAAAGACCCGCGGTTCTGTCATACAGACCACGTGCTAGAATGTGTGTAGCTTCGTTGCAGAGCAAGCCTATGGCTCATAAATGTGCAGTCGTACTAACATAGGATGAAACCATTCGAACATTCGGTGCCTTGCTTGGAATACGTCCAGCCATTTCCGTATGAAAATATTCGCAGGCTCGAGAGTTCCGGAGTCAAACGCCGAGAGCGAGTCAGGGCTGTGCGTTGCTCACGGATGTTGGAACAGTGAGATTGGAAACCGACCATTACGTACGCGTACACAGCATCATCTGTTGTGTCAACAAGCTCACGGTGTGGCAGCACAATCGATACCAGGCCCGCACCCACCACCACGGCCACCGCCACCACCACCGCCGCCACAGCCACCGCCGCCACCACCACTGCTACTACTACTGCTGCTGCTACTACTACTACTACTACAACAACTACCACCACTACTTTTACTGCTGATGCTACTACGGCTCCGGAGTCCGCCTGAATCCCGTGAGCAGTCGGGGCCAGAGCACGTTGCGCTGTTGTTCTCGGAGGAAAATGCACTTCCGCCATAGCTTGCTATAGCTTGCTCTTGTGTAAGATCGAAACCAACCAAAAACAAAGCAACACATCAATAACATATACCAAATCACGTAATTCCGTAGCAGTTTAGAAGCTTTCGCACAAATTGGAACGGTAATGCAGCAAAGACTTCACTTGATGACTAGGTTTGGATAGGCCGAAGCCGCAAAAGTGCATGGTACCGCAACAAGTTTCCACCAATGCACGAGCACCAAGCAAGACAAGCATCAATGCAGACATCCAGGCATGGACCGGAGACACACAGCACGCCGCAGTCCCATGCTTGCCGGACCCTGCCATGGTAGTGCATGGGGCGGAATTTGACAGATGCAAATGACTTTTGCCTGAAGAAGCAGACCGTCTCCTGGCTTTCCGAATTCCAACCTGCGGCTGCACAAGCATCCATAGTAACACTGGAGGTAGTCAGGCGATTTCCATGAGGCCCAGGGACTGCTGAAGTTATACTGCTTTCCAACATCGCATTGCAACCGTTCTTTGCAGGTGGAGAGCAGTTAGCGTCCACAAAACCTCCCAGAGCTACACCCACAATCTGTGCAGCATCGATGTAACTCTTGCGGGTTTTGATAGTTGAGAACTGTGTGGTAAAGTCAGTTGACAGGGATCGTAGGAAGGAGGAGCATGAGCCGAATTGAGCCACTGATGGCAGAACTCATCTCCTAGACCGTCAGGTTTTTCGAGAGAAGGGGCTGTGCGTCACAGAGTAAAGCGAGAAAGTGCAGACAGTTGTGGCTTTCGAAGAGGAATCAACAAAGAGAATGCTGCAGGAACGGACAAGGCAAAGCCAGGACAGCCAGGAGCAGAAAACATGGTCCAAGAGCTTTTTCATGTGCACAACGATTGGAGCGGCCCTTCGTCAAATCGTGCCGAGACACCGGTGTGTATGAACACCTGATCCCAGGTTTTGTCAGCTTAGAGCCACGCTCACGAAGTTATTTTTGCTGCAATCACCAGGAGGGGTTTTCTTACATACTAGAGTTGATAGTGGTCTGCTGCTCAGGCTCACCTTGCAGGCTTGGCAAGGCGGCGAGCTTGGGAGCAAGCAGCGGCTGCTCACCCGCATTGAATCCGATAGCGTCGGACCTGAGTGGCAAGTTTCGAACCGCCTGAGCATGGCTACATGTTCAACCTGCGATAGATCTCACAGGCTGGCCTTTTCAGGCTGCGACGAGCAGGTGCCACTGTTGGCCTCCACACCTCTTGCATCTGCAGCATGTCCGTCTATATGGAAGTCAAGTACTGAGGGGAGTGATTTTGCCCAACGGGAGGGCTCGATGCGGTAGCGATCGGGACGGCCATAAGCGCATGCAGAGGCCCGGGAGTCCCACGCTTATTCTTCGAGACTTGTCCCACTCTGGCTTGGAGGTCAGTGGTTAATGGCTTTAGCTTTGTGCCTTGGCAAACGCATGAGCGTGGTTGGTTTGTTATGCAGGAAACGCAATCCACGGCTTTTTCGCAACCTCTACATGAGGTCGAAAGTCCTGATCGACTCTTCGATCGAAGCAGATGTTGTAACCGCCACCTCTGCGATCAGCGCGTGTGAACGCACAAGTGTATGGCAAGGTGCTGTTCTGATGTCACAGAACATGATTCATTGCAGCCTTCCGCCTGACATTGTTTCTCGTGGTGCGACACTTAGTGCTTGCGAGAAGGGCTGCCAATGGACCTTGGCATTCCAGATTGGAAGCAGCATTTGCAGCTCTGCGCCCACGAATTCGCATGTTCACAACTCTTGTCTGTCTGCTGGTGCACGAGCTACGGAATGGCAAACTGTGCTTCACATGATGCAGGCATTGCGGCATAAGCGCGGGCAGCCGGACATTCTCAGTCATAGCTCAACCCTGCACGCATTCGATGTTGGTTTAAGATGGCAGAATGCCTTGCATGCCTTTTCTCATATGCAGACAGATGGGCCGCAACCAAATGTTGTGAGTGCTTCCTCGGCGATAAGCGCAGCATCCGCCGTCCCAAGGGGTGGAGCATGGGCTTTGCAAGCATTGATGCAACTTGGCACGAGCAGACTTCAGGCAAACACGATCTGCTGCAATGCAGCAGTTTCTGCATGCGCAGCTTCTTCCCTGTGGGAAGAAGGCATTCACGTGTTCAAAGGCATGCTATGCCGTGGACCAACCCCAACCATGGTGACGCATGGAGCCCTCATGGCAGTTGTGGAAGGAGTGGGAAAGTGGCTTGATGTGCTGCACCTTCTGGCAAGTGGGCAACGGCTCGGCCTTCAGCCGACACTTGTGACATGCGCAACTTCTCTGGCTGCCTGCCGCTGTGGCCGCTGGGCCTGGACTCGCGCGGTGCAGCTCTTCGGTTCTCATTTTGCGGGCAATGGCCCTGGTGGCCGTTGGCCGACGCTTGTTGTTGCCAATGCCTTTCTGGGAGCTTTGTCCACCTTTAGCCAGTGGCGAACGGTCGCCAAAGTCCTCGAGGACCTGGGCATGTGGAGGCTTCAGCCAGATCATCACACGCTTGCCAGCGCGGCTTCGTCTCCCTCTCGTGTCACAGTTTGGATGCAGACGGTGAGTCTTTTGCAGAACTTCGGCATGCAGCCCGACTACTCCAGCTTGGAATCTTTGCTCTCGATATGTGAGTGGCAACCTTTAAGCTGTTCGTACCCAAACCAGAAAAGCGTGGGTAGCGAACGGATGTCTCTGCTTCTCCTACACATGCTTCAGGCTTCTGCAACACGCACGTTGGCCCAAGTGCTCATTGACGGGCTGGAAGACAAAAAATGCGTCGCGGTGACCGTAGAGATTGTAGACCAGGCTTCAAGGAAAGATGTGGCACTTGGGCGCAACTAGTGCAACTGTGCATATTTTCGGCAGCATCACAGGTTCCAGGTTGCCCCTTGCTAGGACACTGATGGCAGAGGAGCCTACCCGTGAGGCTGCTCTCCTCCAGGAGTCCCGACTCGATGGCTTCGAGCCATGGGGTCCTTTTTGCAGGAAGGAGCTCAAGGGAATGTGGGCTTTGGGATGGCCAATTGCTGTAAGTATGTTCTGCCGGTTCGCAATGTTCTCCATGGACTCTGCATGCGTGGGCCATCTAAACAGACCATTAGCCGAGTCGCACTTCTTGTTGAAGTCGGCTGGGGCCAACCCAGATGCAGAAATACCTGGCCTTCCAACAGCGACTTACCATCTTTTGCAGCTTGAAGATGCCCTTGAGTCGAGCGAGATGGGCACAGAGGCTGGCACGACACTTCGGGACGACAGCTACTCCCCGAAAGAGTACTTGGCTGCATCTACTCTCTCAGACACTTGTACGGAAAGTAACAGTTTGTTTGATGGGCCGATGCATGTGCAATCCTACGGGGGTTTCCCGAGGTGCGGGCGGCATCGAGTAAGAATACGTGAGTTCGGTCGCGTGTGATGCTTGTTTGGAACTGCAAGGACATGATTACCAATTTTCTGACGACACCCTTGTTGGCAATGGCGTTTGGACTGAACCCACTGATTGCACAGTCAGTAGGGTCCGGCAATCTCAAGATGGTTGGAACTTGGTTGAAGTACCTTGCATGAACTATTGGGCAGTGGATTTGCTTCTGCCGTGTCTTGGGATGACTTTCCAAGCCGTTTGCACTGACAGGGTGGCAATTCCGTTCCGTGCTCCGTCTTGGCTGAGCAAGTATGTTTCCGTCTTTGTAGGATGTCGACGTATTTCCTGCGTCGTGATGATGTGCATCTGACACCGGACATGAGTACATGAGAGAGGGAGACAGGCAGACGAACATCTATGTTTCCTATCGATGTGGCAAGCTGGGCAGGCAGGTCCTGGGTGTCGAGCACGAAGCCAGTATTCCTAGGAATAGACTCTAAAACTGCCACAGAACGTTTCTACACCCGCTTGAGAGAGTCTTCCCCATAGTGTGATTCATAGTTTGGCTTTGGCCCAGACATTCAAGGTTGAGTTTCTTCTGTGTAACATTGGGCACCATTCCTTTCATCACGGGCTTCTTCTTTGTGGACGAAATGTTGACCTCCCTACGTTTCGATCCAGACGTATGCTATCTTGCGGGAGTCTACGCCAGGTACAACAGCATTTGGGTGCTTCCAAACAGCTGGTATGTGACGATGCGAATGTACTTCCAAGCACAGGGCAAGCCACGTCCCGCCATGTATTTCGGGTTGGTCTTCCTGTTTGTCAATGCTCTCTTCTTGTGGCTGTTGGTCTTTGGTGGGCCCGAGAATGGGCAGTGGTGGCACGTGGGAGGTCTCGGCTTCATTGGTGCAGCCTTGTCCATCAGCTGCTCTCGCATTGTGCAGAGCTTCTTCTACTGGTTGTACATGTTCGTGATTACAAAGGCACATGCGCCGACCTGGCCAGGAATGGGTTGTGACTTCTTGCAACGCAAATATTTGAGACCATATTTTGCGCAGGTGCTGCCTCAGGTTGGCACAATGCTGCTTCAGTTCTTGATCTCTCAGTCCACAACCCTGTTGGTTGGAAAGCTTGGCAAATTGCAGGTTTCTTCAAGCAGTGCGGCTGCGCAAGCCACAGTGCCGATCACCGTGTGTTTGCTCATCACTTTCTCTTCGATGACTGCCATCCGAGTGGGGATGAAGCTGGGTAAAGGTGCTGGCAAAGCGGCTGCGCAGACAGCGTGGCTTTGTCTTGGCACGCAGGCACGCTCTGTGAATCATGTCGGAAAGGAATTAAGCCAGGGCTGCTTGCAGTGTTGCGCTAGTGATACCGTGGGCAAAATCTGTGCGCCCAGGCAGCGCTGACGGCGCTCTTCGCCGCAGTGGCCCTTCCGCTCAGGAAAGAGTTTATGTCGCTAATGACAAACGATCCTCAGATCAGGCAATTGGCCTCAGAGCTGCTTGTGCCGATCACCCTCAATTTCCTTTTCGCTGGCGCAGTGAGCACCGTGAACGGAGGAATACTTGCCAGTCAGGGGCGCACCTACCTCAGTGCTGTAATGGTGATGTTATTCGAACTTCCACTCTCCCTCGGAACCACTGCAATTTTGGTCTTGGCCTTCCATGTTGATGTGCATGTCGTGTATTGGGTTCAAGCTGGCGTGACTTTTGTTGAAGCCGTGATCGTGCTTCTGATCATATCCGGCAGCGACTGGGACAAGTATGCGGAGGATGCCCGTGCCAGGAACCAAATGACGCGACAAGCATCCGGTCAGGACGACAGTACAGAGGCACAGTCCTGAACATCAGCAGCATCGGCATGTTTTTACCTGCTACCTTCGTAGAAGGAAGCAGGTAACGCGCCTCGTACCATCATTCAGGGAGTCGTCCAAGTTTCACCGTGGATACTAAAGGACAGCCATGCGGCAACATCATGTCGATGCTTCTAGCTTTCATCTGCAGGTGGCCGCAGCACACTAAGTTATTTCCAACTCGTCTGTTGCCGTTCGGAGCACCTTTCTGCTGGCTCTGCATGCGTTGGCTCGAGTCATGACCGACGCATCAAGTCTAGGGCGTCACTTTCGGGATCAGGCAGGCCGTCAGCTCATCGTCCGTCCCTGAGTTCTCAAGCAGCTCCGCCATGTAAAGCTGTGACAACCGGCGCAGCGGTTTATCAGTCTGAAGCAACCAAGGTCGAGTCTGCACAAGATGTGCAGGTGTACAGCTCGGAATGTGCCAATGCCGTGGACGGGTTGCCTCCATCAGAGCCCGTTGATTTGCAAGCAGGCGACACCTGCGTGATTTGCCAGCACGAGCTCAGACGAGGTGATGCTACGAGACCGCTGCCATGTGGTCACAGCAGCTGGCACGACGACTGCTTCCTGCAATGGCTGACCGAGCAGCCTTCATGCCCCATTTGCCGTGCAATGGTTGGTGAAGACACTGGAGTGAGTATCTTCCCGGAAGTGGTGGCCTTGAGCGAACGTGTGGCAGATTTGCAATCGCAAGTTGAGGCCCTTCATCTGCAGTGGCACCTTCAAGCTCTCCAGGCACACCTACTGCAACGGGCTGTCTTGCTAGAGAGTGAAAGACAGAGACTGGAACGACAGCTTCTGCTCAGTTTCGAAGAGCTGGCATCTTCTGGCCGACAGCTGGCCGAGATCCATGGCGAGTTTATACCCAGGTGGAGATATCAACGTTGCAGGCTGCGATTTGTGTCGGTGCCCCTTCACACCCGACATACCAGACCTGGGCGGATCGCCGAATTGGAGTCATCAACTCAATCTTTTGATCTAGCAAGCTCATGTGACTCGTCAGCTTGTTCCTCAGGGCCTGACTGTCGAGGTGTTTCACACAGTGCGGAAATCGGTGAACAAGCTCGGTCCATACTTGCTCGCCTGCGCAACGCCGTCATGAGGACTCCTCTGCCTGGGGCGCACGTGTTTCGTGCACTTGCAGGCAGGAATGGTCGCATGGGCCCAGTACAAGCTGCACGAGTGCTGCAACATCTTGAAACTGCAGCATCTTATGAAACATTGGCCAGGGCTTTCATGGTGCTGGATGTCGATGGCAGTGGCTTCATTGAAGAATCTGATTGGATGATGGCTTTGCAACTGCCCAGACTGCTCGGATCTGCGCCCATTACATAGGCTTTACTTCGCGTGGGCTCTCAATTTCAGGTTCGCGTTTCACCCATCTAAAATCACGTGCGCCCAACTCCAGAGCCGCGCTCCACCCATCTCGCTAGGTACATTCCTTTTTGATTTGAAGAAAAGAACTCATAAATTATTTTTTTAGGTATTTTCAATAACTTCTATAAATTAATTCTGTATTTTTTCTCATGATAAAGAAATTAATAATTTCGTGGATTTATTTTGTAAGTACGGTATGATATTTTATATATGATGAGAATTCTGAATATAACCCGCTCCATAATATAATTTATTTACCATACGATTCTCTGAGATTTGTATTGATAATACGCGCGGAGACGAAATACTCGAATTTGATTAAGATATTGATATAAATTATTGAACTTGGGAATAAATTTTTGCAAAGAATAAAGATGAAATATAATGGGTATTGAATACTTTGAGGCTTGGACTAAATATTTAAAAGATTATAATATTAATTGTATGGGTGTCGGTAAAAGGGGAATTTGAGGCGAATAATTAAAACACTATGATATTTTCGGTAGATAGACGAAAGACAATTATTGGATAATATTATAGATTTTGATCGAAAATAAAATTCTTAAATTCTAGTTTAAATTTTCATTTCTGGCTCGATTTTTATACTCTTTGCGGCAAATAAATATTAATAAAGAAAAGAAAAGAATATGGCAAGAAAGAATACTAGATATTCTATTAGAATAATAGATAAATAAATCGATATTATTTCTATGCAAATTTGATATGATATTAGAAATTTGCTTTAATATTTCAAATTGGAATTATCTTTCTAATATGATATTCTCTATCTCTTGAATTAAAATTAAGAGAGCATTTAATCTTTAGATCTCTATTTCGAACTATATCTCATCTCTTCTCATAAAGCAATGACAAAATTAAAAGAAATTAGAAGAAAAATGACATTTAATTATAATATCTATATTTTTTATTCGATTCATATGAGAGATATAATATGAAGATTGATTTTAATAATAATATAATAATAGAAAAAGAAAGAAATTAAGAGAATCTTTCTTCTTCTCTTTATTTCTTTTCTTTCATAATGTTCTCTCCTTATCATATTCATCTTATTTCAATTCTCAGAAAGATACGGAGAAAGAAGATAATATATTTATTCTATTTCTTGATCAGATAAGAAGATAAGATAAGATAATTGAAAGAAAAGAGAAATACTAGTTATATCGATAAATTACGTTCTCTTATATTCCTTCTTAATTCTTTCTCCTCTCTAGGATCTTCGTATTCGGATATTTTTTCTTTAATTTCTAGGATGAATTTACGAAGAGAGAATATATATATATATATTTTTTTTTTATGTCGTAATTCTTATTGAT